TCACTGGAGGTCGGCGCGGCGAGCGGTGACGGTCGACGGGCGCTCGGAGCAGGTCGGGTGCCGGTGCTATTCTGCCGTGCACGCCGCCGGGAGAGCAGAGAGCTGGGCAGAGCGCGGAGCGCCAGACGGCCCGGCGCTGCAGCCGTCAGTCGTGTTCAGACGGCCGTGCCGCGCGCGCGCCGCCGATTTGGCGCGGACGGTGGTGGCGCGAACGTGATGTGGGAGAGGCGGCGGAGGCGAGGCTCGACTGCCGCGCGCGTCAGTGGTGTTCTTTGTGTGTCCTGCGGAGGTGATCGACCCGCGCCATGTCAGCCCGGCAGCACCACTCGCTGTCGGTGCCCGTGGAGCGGCCTCCTCGGGCCGTATCCGCCCCGTTCTCGCCGGCCAGACGTCGTAAAACGAACCTGGTTAGCCGCGGCCCGGAGGAGGTGGCGGCCCGGTGTCGGCTGTGTCGGGGCCGATGGTCGGCACCTCACTCCCGTCGCTCGCCGGGTCGACTCTCCGTGTCCAGTGACGATGTGCTCGATGAAGAGCCGTTCGAGCTCGTCTGGGTGAGTTGGGAGCTGTGAGAGCTCGTCTGGGTGAGGTTAGACCTGTAAGGGTTGATTTGGGCTAGTTTTGGGTCTGCCAGAGCTGGTATGTGGGAGTTTTGGGTCAGTCAGAGCTCGTATGTTGGAGTTTTGGTCTGTACGAGCTCGTCCGAGTAAGCTGGAGCTGTGTAAGAGTTCGTCGGGTTGAGATGAGAGTCAGCCAGGCAGCCAGACGAACCAGAGTTCGTCTGAGTGTGCTGAGAGTCGTTTGATCGTATCTGATTGAGTTTGGAGCGGTTAGTGATCGTCTGAGTGAGTTGAGGGCTGTTAAAACCAGTCTGGCTGTGCTGAGAGCTCTTATAGCTCGTCTGGTTCAACCGATATCTTGGTTTATTGGGACACTGGCACGCCAGCATAGTCGCCGTTGGCCAGGCCAACATTTCAGTGACCGTTCGGTGGCTGTTACGCCTTTGCAATTCCGTCACTGTCTCTCAGACCGCTCTATGTGGTTCCATACCGACCACGCGGGTGAGCCCCGTGCTCACCACCGTCCCGTTAACTCTTGCCGTGATGCCAGCGGCACACGCGGCACATTGCGGTGAAAAACACGGCTCGTCGCTGGCCCTGGCCACGAGGTCGGGACGAGCGCGCCGGCCAGAGGGGCGTGCGAGCGGGCGGCGCGGCCTTCGCCTCTCGGGCAGGGGTCGGCGCCAGCCGGGCCGCCCGTCGGGTTTTCTGGGACATCACCTCACAGTGCCATGGCCGTGCAGGAGGTCTGACGTCATCAGCGGTTTTGCCGTCTGATCCTCTCCGTCTGTGGTCCCGGCAGGACGTGGGGGAGGGGTGAGTCACAGTGCGGTCCGGGGACCGCGCGAGGTCTCCTGGAGACTGGTCCGTGGAGTGAGTCACACTGCAGACCAACTGATCGCGGTCCGCGCGCGGTCTTCTGGAGGCTGGTCCGTGGAGTGAGTCACATCCACAGACCAACAGACCGGAGGGCGGCGCCAGACCACCCCCTGGAGGCTGCGCCGCCGCAGGATGCCGCACCCTGGCTCCATCCGGCCTGCAGCACAAGATTGGGACGACATTAGCGGCTGAGCCTGACGCGATTCGCCGGCGGCCACTTTCTCTCGGTCTGTGGGCGCGTCGTTAGGCCGAGGGCTTACAGACGGACGCCTCCGGCTGCGGCCGCTCCCTGGGTATCTGGGCGTGAGATGAGGTCGGTGCAGAGCTGCCGCAGCCCGCCAGACGCCGCGGGCAGCGATTGGCAAAGATTGGGAGTGTGCCATTGGCAAGGCATGAAATCGGTGAAAAGCATGCACGCATTGGTTAAACTTTTCCTTTTAATTACACACACTTCATGAAATATTAAGCATAACATTTTAGATTTTAACAGTCCAGAAAAATGAATAAAAACAAAATATTTTTACATCAAATATGATTAGAGCACGACGTCCAAAGTGGTAAATTTGTGCAGCCCGTCCATCCAAGTTGGAACGACACATAAAGCCAGCCATCCCAGCTCTGGGAGAGCTATGGCCTACCGCTTCAGCCAAAGAGAGCTGGGGTCACCTCAAGGCGTGATCTCTGCAATATGTTCCAATAGCATTCAATCCTTGCAGTGATTTTGTGCAATAAAGCGCCGGCTCACATTTGCGGTGATTTCCCGTGACTTTTAAAATTTGTCCTGCGCTCTCATATGTGCCGGTGTGAGATTTCACGATCGACTATTTGTTCCAATAGCGCTGTAGGTGGTCGACGCTATGGGCCGTCGACTCGACATCTCAATTGAGACAGGCTGTCGGGCCTTCCACCCACTGTCAGGCCGCTTTATTTGCTGTCAAACTGGTCCAACCTGTGCTGGCTGTTCCACATGTCGTCGATGTTGCCGTTACACCGGCTGGTGGGCTGTTCCACAATCTGTCGCACCGTTTGACGACCTGCTGTCGATGCCGCTCCCTCCGCTGAAGGGCCGTTCTCTCAGCTGTCACACCGTTCCCCATCGGCTGCAGGAGCACTCCACGATCTTCGTGACTGCGCCGGGGCGGCGGCTGCTGCTGACAGTGTGATTGGCCTGAGATGGTTTGGGTCAGTGGGCCGCCAATGGGCGTCTGGTGTCTGCTGCGAAGAGTCTGATCAGGTAGCCTGGTATTGGCCTGCCGCACATCCTTTGCGACCTGTATGGCCTGCCTGCAGGATTTGGTCCGTCTGCAGTCTGACCGGACCAGTTCGCAGTCTGCAACAGCAGACTGTCCCACTCCCCAGCACCTGTCTGCGTTGTGACCGGACCAGTCTTCCGTCTATGGCTCAATCGGCCGTGCCGGATGCCGGCTTGCAGTTGTCCCTCCTTCAGTCGTATTTCCAGTCTGGCTGATAGTGGTTGCTCCGTCCGCAGTCTGTAAATACCGACAGGTAGTGACTGCTCCGACGTCTCCATCTGCCCGGTGCCTCACTACCGGCCGGCTGCAGGTCCGAGCGATGGCGCAATCGGGCGTCCTTCGGGTGGGCGTGGCCCGCGCCCGGGCGCCTCAGTCAGCAACCGCTGGGGGCAGCGTGGAGCGCCGCCGAGCGAGCGAGCACAGGGCCGGTGCGGCCCGGCGCCGCGTCATCTCAGCACCCCAACTCAACACAGAGAGACACAGGGCCGCCGAGCGAGCACAAGGTCCGGCGCCTCGTCACCTCAGCTTCCCAGCACACATAGCCTGGATGACACCTGGGACTGCCCTCTGCGCAGTGTCTCTGAGCTGGCGGCGGCCGTCCGGTCTGCGACTGGTCTGTGGTCGGGACGGGGAGGGGTAGTCGCACCTCAGTGCCTCGCTGCCTCGCTGCAAGGGCGGGGGGAGGGGTAGTACAAGATAATGTGGCGATTGTGATTGGAATGTAAACAAGACAGTTGGACCGGTGTGACGGGCTGCGGAATGTAATTATTTGCAACTATGTTGCAACTATGTAGGTAGGTATGGTGTCCCAATAGCTGGATGACGAGGTGTCTAAAATATGCTAGATGACCTGATGTCAAGGTTTTGTCGGATGACGTGTCGTCGTGTCAGTGCGGCATGACGTCATTGTAGGCTGACGTCAGTTTAACCTCACGTCGGATTCTGACCAGATGATCCTACGCCGGCTGCTACCCTCACACGGTATAGCTGCTGGTGACACAGCAACTAGGCGCTGTGGGTTCCGCTGTCTCCACCCAATCTTTACACCACATCACCTACTCAAACAAGCGTCCCACTTGAGTCTACGTGGTTACAATTCCGACCTACCCGGCCTCCTTGCTCAGCGGTGCCGATGTGAGACGCACTGGCGCCGCCGTCGGAGCCGAACCGGTCGACCGCAGGCGGCGCGGCGGGCCGGTCGGCTCACCCAACCCGTCCGCCGGTGGAGCTAGGCGCACTGTGGGAACGGAGACAGGTACCGAGCCGCTCAGCAGGGCGCCGCGCGGCTGAGCTCGTCTCCAGATCGAGCTGGGGCGGCCCTCCCCAATGGGCGTCCCCAGTAAAAGCGGTCGACCGACATACCGGGCTCGTTGGGCTGTACCGCCCGATCGGCGCGGCGGCCCGTTACCCAGACCATGGCGGTGTGCGCCTTATGATGGGGCCATGAGAAGGCGACTGGGCGGTGCGCTTGAATGGAAATAAGGTCAGAACGGGTTCTGTGTGTGCGTGTCTCTGTCGGCAGAACGGGGCGGCCCTTCCACGTCACGCCAGAGACCGCAACCCATGGCGAAACCGGGCGGCTGCTGCCGATTAGCCGGAACAGATGGGTGCTGCGGTTCGATGAATCATGACTCCGCTCCCCGTTACCCAGATAAATCGGAAGATTATTCAGTCTGATAAGCATATTTTGTTACCACAATGTCTGTATGTGGACAGTGGCATTGTTTTGATTCCGACTTTTAAGGCTTACTGTGTCATTATTTTGCGATCTGTCACAGTTTTACTGAGTATTTCAAGAGACACAAGGCAGCAAAACAAGGTAATCAGACAGATGAGGTGACGAAACGTCGTACCGTCTGCATCTCAGAGAGACAGACTTGCTAGCAGCGACTTTTTATTAATGTCGTATGCTCCAGATTTCGACCGAATTCGTGGCGACTTGACGACTTGACGTGCAAACATGCTGATGATGTTGCCTCTCAACAGTGATAAGATTTCCACGCATCCAAAACCAACTCGTCATCATCGATTATTTTGTCCAACAGCTTCTGCTGTCTTACATAGTTGAAGCTACACCCACTCGATCCATTCATCTGAGTGATTCACCCGATGACCCGCTGACCTAATCTGTGTCGTCACGAGTGTCTGTGCTGAGTGTGATCTAACGGCGATCTGATACTGCATTACTACAGTTCGTGTGTACTGTATCACGTCTGACGCCGCACCACTGGCTGTATGCCTGTGTATGTATAAACCACTGTCTGAGGTCCGACTGACCGTGCTGACCGCGCTGTCTGCCCCTCTGTTGCAGACCGGGGTGGGCGGCGCGTCGGGCGGCGGCGGCAGCGGCAGCGGCAGTCTGTCCGTGTCGCCAGCGACGACCGGGCCGCCGCCGCTGCTCAGTCGCCGCTCGGTGGACGAGTCGGCCATGGCGTGTGGCCACCGGCGGCCGCTGGTCCGGCACAGCTCGGACGACACGCGCCGGAGACGGGAGAGTTTCGCGGCCGGCGGGCCGGCGCACAGCTCGGCCAGTTCGATCGGCCTCGGCCACGGCTCAGGTGAGACTGGCAGGCAAAGCTCTGTATAGTTAAACAGCGCCGCCGTCTGCTCCCGATCACCCTTACCGTCACTGTAATGTCTTCTGCTGTAACTACATCTCGAACATCGATGACCTCTGAAGTCGGGCGCCCCAAAATCACAAATCACCATTCCTCTCATACAGCTTCTGGCAGCTTTCCAGATAAAACTTCACTGTCAGCTCCCGGTCCACCCACCCGGAGCTTATGTATGCCTCACTGATATAGTGACATTCTGACATGCCTGCTTGGACGCGCGGTCGCTTTGATTCTAACAGAGGTCGATGATCACCGTATTACCAAGCATGGTTGTAATGCTCTCTAGTTCAAATCCCGCCCCATAAAAGGATGGTTGTAATTCTATTGATAGCTCAATCTTGTCCCGTAAATGTATGGTCTCACTCTCATCTCACAAGCATAATCCCGTACCTTTAGTATGGGCGTCGCCCCACCAAGCATGGCCGCCGTCCCCCTCGACGGTCGAGGCAGCCGCTCGCCCCCCGACGCTACCGCTCTGTGGCACAGCGCCACCGGGGCCAGTGTTGACGCAGGGACCACTCGACTCGCCGATCCTTATCTAATCCCACCGGAGAGGCGGCTTGGCGACCGGCCGGGCCGGCGCGGCGCCGAGCGAGCGGTGGGAGAATCGGCGTGCCCCGGGGGCCGAGTGCTGTGAAGGGACGCCCCCGTCAGCTCTCACCCTGAGATTATACCCATTACACGTAGACAGTTGCGGTCGTTTAACAGCACGTGCCGCCGAAAGGGCAGGATTTGAGTGGCCGCACCCGCGCTGCGAGCTGGCGGTACAAGGACGCACGTTTGCGGAAACCGTCAAGGATGGATGGGGTGCTGGGTCAGGGCTGGGACGAGTGCCGCTCGCTCGGTCGGCCCGGCAGACTGTCGGCCGCCGGCCGGGCTGAGTCGGTGTGATGCTATGCTGACGGCGGCTCGGTGTCGGGTTTCGGGTGTTTTGTCCAGGTCAAGGAGCCCGCTGTCCACTGTCCGCCGCCTACGTCGCCTTGACCTATCGGTGGACAGTGGACAGGGCCGCCTGCAGGACGCGTGCTCTGCTGTTCGTCACAGCGAGGCAGTTCGTCACGGTCACTACAGACGGTCCTTCAGAGTCACTACTACAGTACAAACCGTCTGCAACAGTCGCAATGCTCTACACAGATAATCCTACTCTGTAGGTTATAGTCACAGACGGTCTGGTGTAACCAAGGACAGTCTGGCACAGCTTCTGATGGTCCGCTGTCGCAAAAACACCGACAGTCGACACCGTCTCAAACAATATCTCACAGATACGGACTTCGGCATCGTTACAGACCAATGGCAACAGACAGTCATATGGTCAGCTATATACCGTCCGTTAGTTAGATACACAGAAGGTCCATATCCTCAAATAACCTGTCACGTCCAGAGACGATCTGTAAATGTAGCATACATTTCTCGCACGCGTCGCTGCCGTTGCTACCAGCGATCTGTCAGCGATCTGATGATGAGTTCTGCGCAGGAACCCACCTCGCTGGAAACATTCTGCTGAGAGTGGCAGTCTGTGACAGGCTGCCCTGAGTGCTGAACGAGCTCCCAGCCACCGGGCGTCGGGAGCTGACACCTCGGGCGCAGCGCAGCCGCCGCCTCATTTTCTATGAATTATAACTACTTCTATGAATGAGTGGCTAAAGGCAATCACTCAGGCGCCACTCTGAGTCGTAGATGGTCGTTCGAATTACACGGCCTTGGCCGTCTTATTCGGTCCGAGATCCAGGGCAGGGTTGCGCATTTTGTCGGCATCTAAAGAACCATGGGATGGCCAAGGGATGGTAGAAGACTGATCCAGTGATCCAGGTGGGGCGGCGCGATTCGTCGGGAGCGGAACCGTAGTGCGCACATGCCTTGCCCTGTCTTATCTTGTCATTCTTTAAAGCTTTTCCGGGCTACATTATCCCCGGTCAGGGTTTATGGGTGCGTCGAATGCAAGGTCATTTGCAGACTGACATCATCGAGGGCATTAGATGCATTATGATTTATCGTAAGCACCATAAATGCAATGTCTATGTATGCTATCCAAACGGCTGCATCAGTAGATGACGATGTGACCCAATCAGACGTGCTGAGAAGGATCGCTCGGGCGACTCTGCACCGGCGTGACAGGAGCGCCAATCGGACCAGTTCCGATGAAGTCACTGTGTCGCGAACTGATCGAGATGCAGGGGCGCATCAGTTGCTTCGGCGGAAAAGGGCGGTCTGTTGTTGGCGCACGACCCAGTGTGCTATCATTAGATGCGTCTGATGTCGAGACACAGCGTAGATGCTGTTTATTTATAGTTGTGTGGTGATACGGAAAAATGCTAGGACGACCACCGGTCGTAATGAAAAAGATAAGTTTCTGTGATGGTTCTTGGGACTGTCTCCCGACCGTCTTCTAACCATCCCTTGGCGATATCTTAGCTGGATACAGTTGAGCCATTCCCGGTTTGACTGGATAACAGAGCCAGGCTCTCTACCGGCTGGCGCTTTGGGTGGTGGCTCCGGGTTTAGCATGATCGGCGGAAGGTAGTATGTAGCTGATGTAACTCTGCCCTGGTGTCCCTCTCCTCAGTGAGCTGGTATACGCCTGCTACCTCTAGTAGCTGTGGCCGGCTTCCTGAGATTGACCGGCTCCTGATAGCTACGATAGACAATAGACAGGCGACCTCTGAAAATTGTGGCAGATCGATTTTTCAGCTGGGAAGAACAGACCAAGTCCTTCGACAAGCTGGGGTTTACCCGGTCTCTGTTGACTGTGATATAACACTAACCCGGCCGTTTCGTTTATTTATGCATCGCCAAAGTCAATGTGTGGCGGTTCCGCATAGTGATCAACGCGTCGTTCTCAAAAGTTATGTTACGCTGGATAGCTTGTGCTGCAACTTGGCGATTTCGCAGTTTACAGAGCATCTCACGTCAAATGATGCATCCTATAGTGTAAACATCCACACTGCATCTCGCTCCATAGCGCTGCGGTTGGATGGCATTAGTCGGGAGCCGTGGGATGGTTGTTTGCTGGGCTTGGCGTGGTCCCTGAGTGGTCCTATTTCACCAGGGACTGAGCTACGGTACGACGCACGAGCTGGCGCGGTCCTGTTCGGCAGTCGACGCTGCGTCAAAATCAGGGCTGCTGGCATTTGGCCACTGCTGGGCGACGTCTCGGGTCCGTGGAGCTTTGGGCTGGTGGTGGGCCTGACTGGCTCCGCCGTCAGTGGACGGTCATGGCCAGTACTCTGGTCGGTCACAGTCCGCACTCCGGGCAATGATGACCCAGACTCCAGCCGCTGAGACTCCGACCGGTGACGACCCCGACTCTGTACGGTCGCGGTCCGAACTGAACGGTCTTGGCCCGGACCTCGGTAGCTCTGACCGGCGGCGGACCGATGCTGTGGCGGAGCCTCTCGTCTCGCATGCGTGTCGGCCTTGCATGATTTAGTGAAAGTAGTCGGCTCAATATTCGAACGACGTGAAAGTACACGATTACTGGCGTGTCTGACAGACCGCGTCAAAGCGCTGCTACGCTCTTTATGTGAGCCGTCGGATAAACTTAACTAGCTCTCTGTCTTACTCAGACAGAAGTCTAAGCTCTTCATTCAGCAGAGATGAATACCCCTTCCGTTTTGCAGAGACAGCCGTCGAATTCTGGTTGCGCTTCTCTCGCTGACTAAGCTTATAAGCCCCGCGGGGGCGCCGTGGCTCCACCACACCTCAGTCAATTCCAGCGGCTCGCGCTCGGCGCGACCGACCTGGAATAGTGTCCCACCGGGCCGCCGCCGGCTGAACAGTGTGTCGACCCCGACAGCTCGGCAGCTCACACCAGGCTGGCGTGCGCGGCCGAGCTTGTGCGGACACGGCAATCAATGCGGCTAAGGGTGTTTCTCGAAACCCAGCCCTGTGCCGTTTTCGAGTACCGCAGATTAACCTACCCGGCGTGGCAGCCACATGCCGCATCTACCATCTTTTTTTTTTCATTAACACATGCCCCTATATTACATATTATGCGTCGAGAATCCTTTGGTTCTATCTTTCCAAAATCAGTCGCTGTTACAGTCCTCTGAAATGAAATGACGAGTGTTTGCCATAGGAGGGATGTTTGCCCCCTGAAAATGTGTCAACGCTGTTCAGTACCTGTCCAGTGCCCATCTCGGCTCGATTTTCAGACCAGCGACCTAGCGCATACCTGTCGTGGTGCGAGTTTACCGCCTGTGGACCTCCAGAGACCACGGAAGCCGCAGCGACCACGACCCAGCCCTGCCGCCTATCATCCCGGCGCGGGCCCCTCACGTGTTCCTCCTTTGACCGGGCGCCAGCTGATGTTGGCGGCTCGTCAGCTCTCTGTTCACTCTGTCAGAGCTGGAACTGAGAGGTGACGTCCGCAGCACGGGCCGACGTGCGTCACTACTCACTGGCCGTCTGAATATGTACCCAGCCACCCCTCCCCCCGCCCGCCGCACACAGCTCGCCCCGCCCCCTTCGAGCGCCGCGTGTGCAGTTTCCAAATATGGTCATATCACACCTCGGAGGCGGGCAGCCTCAGCGAGAGGGGAGAGAGTGGGAGGTCAGCGGGAGTCTGGGGGAAAGGTCAGGGGAGAGTCGGAGACTTTCAAGGAAAATGGTGTGTGAGGTTAGTGGGGTCAGTGTTGAGTTGGCAGCGGCATTGGGAGATGGTGGTAGTGCTCTGTGGAATTAGTTCATACGGTCAAAAGGAGATGTCGCGTCTCCGGGCTGTCAGTGGCAGAAGGTCGTTTCCCTACCGGCCTGTCACCTGCAGTCGGCCTTGGAGAGCTCGGCTGTCACCGTCACTGTCGCGGCTAGTTAGTCTGTTCACCCTGCACAGCGGGGGAGTATCGGTATGCCTGCAGGCGGTGATGTCATGTTCTTTGTGTGGGCTGTGGCTGCGGGGGCCGCTCGATCGACTGTACCCTGTGCACTGGTATGTCAATTATACCGTACGTACCAATGACCCCTCCCTTGCACCTATACCAGAGGCCTCCAACGGCCGACCTCACCGCTGCAGTCAAAGACCTGTGTCTCATGGGCGGCGCCGACCCTTATATTCTGTGTGTCCTGACTGCCCTCAGCGTTACCCATTTCAGCAACATTACTTTTCCCTCCTTCACCACCAATACCATTATGGTCTTGACACTCATCTCTGACCGACAGGAGAGGGGTCGAACCTGCTGCGGATGCGCCGCTCCAACCTGGGACGTTCGGCGCCGTCTCTTTCGGCCAGTCTGGTAAGTACACCGGGACCCGTATCTGTGTGACACTGTCCCGTAGGCGGACGGACCAGAGACACGCACTTCTGTGCTCTAATGCACAGCACGGGACCGCTCTTGGATATGGAGACTCTGACAGACCAGACAGACCGGGAATCAACTCAGACGCATCTCACGGCACTTCTTACGCTGAGCCCTGTGCCTCGGAGTACACAGCCCCCTCGTACCCCGGGCAGAAAATATGGTGCGCCCTCTCCGTGCCGCGAGACAAAGCTTCTCGTGTATACCATTGAGCCTAGCTCTGTATGCCGGACAGACAAAAGGCTGCCGCTCGGGATATGTTTCCTCATATAATAGATGTCGGCGTAACGCGTCCCTGAGTACAGCGGCTCCATTGACACGCACCCTCCGAGTTAATGGTTCTCCCAACCTTGGCCGCCGCCAAGTGCAATCTATCTGGGTTGAAAGGGCGGTACCGCGGCATTACAGGTCGTTTGAAGTCGTGTCACCTTTCAAAGTATGCGTTGGATGCTACCTTTATGAGAGGAGATCACATAGAACGTGGTTATTTGCCTATGCACGGTCTAATATGGCATGCTATTGCCTGCGAACCTGATATTCTGGCTGTATGGTGTGCTTGGCCTGGCTGGGTAGGGTGAAGTATCACCTAGTTTGGCTGGGTCGACGCTATGGTCGGGGACTCCTCGCTCATGAAACTAGGTCAGCTGAGGTGCCATCCATCAATTAGCTAGCGTGTGACAGCGGTCATGGTTGGACGGAAAACGATCGTTTCTTGGCGAGCCCTGCGATTCTGCTGTCGGCCGTTCTTAGCTGTGCTCGTGGCGCCACCTTCAGAATGTGCCGACACGACCTTCGCGACCGGCGCGTCACCTGGTGGCGATGATCGGAACTACAAGTACTTCGTTTCTGGATTGGTGGCTCTGCCGTCCACAGACATCCTTCTATGGAAGCCTGGAACGGAGTGCTCTGCGGAGTAAGAAAGGTTATCGTTTCCGTAGTTTTACCAACAGCAAAGAGCGGCTGCGAGTGTCTGTTTCGTAAATGCCCAGCCGTCGGCTCTAGTCCTTGTAGTCACTCTCCTCCGCAGTTCCTCCCCGTTCCTGTTCTTCGGAACTGGGGCAATTCGATCGACAATGATCGCTTCCGACCCTTCCAATAGACCCGTTTTGAGATTACTAGGCCACCGAAACCAATCCCGAGGCTCCTACACTATGCTGTCAGACAATGAACCTCGAGGCATGGAAAGATCTTCCAACTCTCTTCTTGTTCGTGTCTGTTACCAGCGAAAAACTTTTGGTGTTGGGCTAGTTTGTAGCTTCAGTTTTTTTATGCCTTGATTTGTTTCGGTGTTTTGATGAACTCTGATTTTTCCGGCGGCGTCAGTGGCGTTGCTCGATCCGACTACCACTGGGGTGGTCGTTCCTTGGTTCTAACAAAGCTGCAGATTGTTCCAGTCAGTCATATAATCTGCCGGTCCGAGACAGCATTATATCTGTGCCTCGGCCAATGTGGTGCTTTAGATAATAGTCCAGACAAGTGGACTAATATACAGAGCGGGGCTGGTCCGTACCGCGTCTGTTAGTATCTGTGGTGGAGTGCTGTGACTATAACTGTGCCTGGTACCCGTCTGTGTCCGGCTCGGTAGTGTCGCTCCATTACTGAGCCCGGATGTGTCGCGGTGGGACTGAGTGACTGGACTGACCGAATTATCGGACTAGGCCAGGCTGGCGGGTGGCGCAGCTGCTCTGCGCCTTCAGTTACTCTGCCAGTGTCAGAGGGCCATGCTTGGGCGACAGTCACGATATTATTTTTATTGCCAGCTGCTAAAGTGTTGGCCTCAGTCAGCTTCAGTGCGTCTGCTACCTTTTCAAGGAGAGTATCAAGGTATAAGGAGAGACGAGTGTCGATATCGAGACCTGTTCAAATTAAGCAGCTTTGCACACGTGCTGATGACTTATGCATGCATTTCGAACATTTGTGGCGGCCCAACCGAGCCGATATAAGAGCAAACATCTCTAAAAGTTCGCTTTCAATGCGACGCTACAAGAAGTTTTCCCGATGCAAACGAAAGAGCGCGATGGGCTGTCAGCTTTTCCAGCCCGCATCTCCGATGTAACATTATCGACTGGCCTAGCTCGGCATTTGGAGGGGCTGAAATGAGGCTCCGACTGCCGTTGCCTTTCAGCATGTCCTCGCCCCTGCCTTTGTCCGGCTTCGGACCGTCGGAACTCGTGACCGGACTCGTGACCTGCCGCGTGACTGGACTGTCTCTGACGCTCGCTAGTGTCACCATCGATCGGACCAGTGGTGCCCGCTGGTGCCAGTGGTGCCCGCCAGCCGACAGCAGCACCAGTCACTATCACTGTATTGAATCAGCGTCTGTGTGATGTGTTGGAGCTCCGCACCCAACGTCCCCGCCGGCGGCGACGATAACGACGACGCTCCGTCGAGTCCGACGGTCCCAAAGGCACGACCGGCCAATTCACTCACAGGACGCCGACGGCGTATTTGCATGTTAAAGAGTTATGTAGATGCGCGCTGTCTGGCCGGGCTCTGTCTGGCCCGCCGGCGGCGGCGCCGTAGCTCTATGGTGATGCAGCGACTCTGCCCGGCAGGCGCCGCTGGGTCGGCACGACCCACCCGGCCGCCGCAACGGGCCACTATTCAACCCTGCGGACGGAATTCAGTTTCAGACGGAATACCCCGAAGACGGAATTCGGTTTCAGATGGAATATATTGCGGGCGAAATCAGCTTCAGATGGAATACCCTGCGGCCTACTGACGAAATTCAGTGCAGTGCTTATTAGCTTGCGAGTATCGAGTTTCCACTTCCGTGATTTCTCGTCTGAAGTGATCTGTCTTTCTCAATTTTCAGATTCAAATTGGTCTTTATTGCACAATGCGCATTCTCGACCATCACGATATGCAAACCATTGATGGTTTTAGGTACTGGTTTTCCATGGCTTACCTATGTAATAGGTCCGCACCTGATACATGCTTTCGATTCCGAAATTAAAGTGCTTTTTGTCCATTCTTTTGCTTGGATGCTGACCAAGCCATCCATTACTGTATTATGTCTGCTACTATTTTGTTAGATTTGTGCCGTTTCTGCGTCGTGTTTTCCTTTGGCGTTAGCGTCGTGGCAGATTTTTCTAGCTCAGTGTTTTGACCGAGCGCTCCGCTTTCGTTCTGGGAGCTGATATTTCCGACGTCTGCCCACGGCGAGGTTTTTGTTCGGCCGCTGTATTTTCGCGGTCGGTGATCGCCAGCGGCTCAGTGAGCCATATCAGCGGGGCAGCCGATACATAACGGGCAGACGGATCGGCGGGATGCGGCGGGCGGCGCCGTGGGAGGGGCGCTGCCGAGCTGGGAAATGGTCCGACTGATGGTCCGAGCGGCAGTCCGCCGGAGCACCACTGGCAGTCCTCCGGCCGTCAGAGCTGCTGAGCACCCTAGACGGCGCGCCACCCCGCCCGTCGCCGTCGTCGCCACCCCGCCCGTCGCCGTCGTCGCCGCCCCGCCCGCCGCCGTCGTTGCCGCTCCGCTCCCGCCCGGGCCCGGGGGGGCCCTGGGAGCCGAGTCAGGTCGATAGCTGGCGCGACGGCCGGAAACGGCAGCTCTCATTTGTTGGCGCCGCACAGAACCGGCCAGCGTGCTCTCTACGGAATGAGGCGTTTCAGAGGCTTTAGAAAACAATCAAGGGTTGTTGATTCGTCGGCAGATTACCGCCCAGAGGGGAGCAGGTCGGGGAGGGGGTCCCGACTGAGCTGGAACATTTGGCTTCGCGCTCGGAGCCATTTGTTCTAGCTCCAAAGTCCCGGGTCGATTGGAACACTCATCATAGCCAGTCTGGGACGCCGCTCTATCTGTTGGAACCAGAAGTCGCTCTATCCGCTTGCCCGGCAAAAAGCAGAAAGACAAATTATTCTTCGATAAGCCTCGCTGACATTTGTTATCAACTAAAAACGCCTGCCGGCCCAGTTCAGCAGCTGGTGATATCATCTGACGGCTGAGGCCGCCCAGCAGTCGATAAGGTCCACCAAAACAGCCCACAGCGGTCGATGAAGCTCAGTGGCGCCGCAAGGAGTCTGTAAGGTTCTACGTGAACCTTCCAGTAGTCGGTAAGGTCCGCTGGCGCCGCCCAGCAGTTGGTAGGGTCGACTGAGGCCTCCAAGCAGTCGACTAGGCCAAACGAAATCCTCCTGCTGTCGATAGGCCTCCTGATGCTGGTCAGCGGTCGATAGGGTCTTAAAAAGTCCCCCAACAGTCTGCATGACACTTTTGCAGTCCAGTAGTTCCGCTGATACTGCTCATGAAATTGGTGTGGTTTATAACGCCACCCATTTGTCTCTACAGTCTGCGGACACTTCTAAGTAGTCTGTAAGTCCTGTTGACCTCTCAGCAGTCGACACATCCGTGGATGCTGGTCTACAGCTAGACGGCACAGGCCCGGCAGTTGGCATGATGCTGCTGGCGGGCTGTAGACCTCGTGGCTGTCGTTGGCGTACCGTTGGCGCCGTCATGAACTGTCGGGTGGGCGGGCACGGGTCATTCTGCCAAGTTGGCGGCGCGGGACGGCCTCAGCTGGCCCGGGGTGCCGCTGGTGACCTTGTGACTGCAGTGTTCGCGCGCCGCCCGGCGCCGCACCCAAAATAGTGGGGGTGGCGCGGGCTGCTGGCCGCTGCTGGTGCGGCCGGACCGGCCGTCAGTGCACGCTGCAGCGCGGTGGTGACGAGATCGGCCGGCACGGTCAGTGACTGTCCCGGGGAGCGGACTCTGGTCAGACACGGCCGCCCTGCTGGAGCGGCCGGCGGCCGGAGGGGCCGCCAGCCCGGTCCCACGGATTACCATGGAGGAGGAGGAGGATGAGTCGACGACGACGGCAGGACCGTCCGTGCCGGTCCGTCGCACCGCGTCCGCCGCCTGCCTGGAGGTAATGATCCCCGACGGACGTGCCCCGCTGGGATCGGCAGGCCACGCAGCTGGGCGCTGCAGCC